ACTTTCATAGTGATACTGCCTCGGAAACCCAAGGAGGGGTTGCTATGAGTCAGAGACGACTTGAAGGCACATAACAACAACAACAGGCAGAGCTGTGTCCTGAGATGGTGGCAAGGCTTCCTTGATTACAGGCAGAGGAATGTTGCTCATCTCTGCTCAGTGAGTTTCTTGGAAGTAAGGTCTTAATTGCCCTCATGAGGAACCTGTACATAGACCAAGAAGCAGTCATTCAAACAGAGCAAGAGAATAATGCATGGTTTAAAATAAGGAAGGCTGTACATCAGGGTGGTATCCTTTCACTATATTTATTCAATCTATATACTGAGCAAATAATCAGAGCAGCTGGACTAGATGAAGAAGAGCATGGCATCAGGATTGGAGAAAGACTCATTAACAACCTGCGATAGGCTGACAGCACAACCTTGCTTGCTGAAAGTGAAGACAACTTGAAACACTTACTGGTAAAGATCAAAGACTGCAGACTTCAGTATGGATTACACTTTAATATAAGGAAAGCAAAAATGCTCACGACTGGACCAACAAGCAGCATCATGGTAAATGGAGAAAAGAGTAAAGTTGTTAAGGATTTCATTTTACTTGGATCCACAATAAATGCCCACGGAAGCAGCAGTCAAGAAATCAAAAGACGTATTATTGCCTTGGGCAATTTTGCTGCTAAAGACCTCTTTAAAGTGTTAAAAAGCAAGGTCCCTTGGAGGACTAAGGAGCACCTGACACAATGGTGGTATTTTCAGTCACCTCATGTACATGTGAAAGCTGAGCAATGAATAAGGAAGACCTAAGAATTGATGCCTTTGAATTATGCTGTTGGTGAAGGGTATTGAATATACCATGGACTGCCAGAAGAATGAACAAATCTGTCTTGAATGAATGCTCCTTAGAAGAGAAGATGTTGAGGCTTTGTCTCACGTACGTTGGTCACGTTATCAGGAGGAATCAGTCTCTGGAGAAGGACACCCTGCTTGGTAAAGTAGAGGGTCAGCAAAAACGAGGAAGACCCTCGATGAGATGGATTGACAAAGAGGCTGCAACAGCGGAATCAAACATAACAACAATTATAAGGATGATGCAAGACCAGGAAGTGTTTCATTCTATTGTGCATAGCGTCACTATCAATCAGAACCAACACCAAAACCAGGGTTTTCCATATTCAGAGACAGTAAGTGTGGGAACCAATTTCATTCTCCGAGTCTATTGTGACTATAGTAGGATTGGACATCAATCCAAGGGAAAGCCACCACCATCCAGGGCACACACCTGTCCACTCTGGTCCCCAGCCCCGAAAATCCTTGGAGAAGGAGATGTGCCTTTGGACTTAATTTCCCAGCTCTTGTCAGGGGTCGAAGCCAGTGACACTTTCTGGGAGGGAGTAAGACAGTATATGAAAGCGTAGGTATGGAGGCCCCAGAGCCTGGAAGCTAGGCAGTGAGGTCTTCCTCACATGGAGGCCCAGGCACTGCAGGGTGCCAGAGCTCTGGATGGAGGTGGGGACCTGGGAGAGACCAAAGGCCTCCAATGGTGAGATCTGGGAAGTTCATCCATTCAGCTGTCTCCCCTTCACCCCTATGAGTCTACAGGCAGGAGAAGCCGGGCCAGCTCTGCCGGGATCTGGGCTGGACTGGGAACATTTTCTCCTCTGTGCTTCTAGAAATTGTGGATTTCTCCTCCATTTCCTGGACCAATCCTTTGTAAATATTTCCAACTCATTTTGAGTGAGTGAAGTAGGCTGTTAGGGAGAACATAGGCCAGCTTCCTGGTTCAAATCCCAGCTCTACCCCTTGAGCCTTGAGCAAGTCCCTGATCTCAGCATTCCTCAGTTTCTCACAGAAAGTGGGGCTAATAATAGAACCCACCTTTTAGGTTATTGTGAAGATTAAGTGGGTCGCTGTGTGAAAGCACATGGGATAGTGTCTGGCCTCTAGCTAAGTGGTAACTAAATGCTAGGTCATCATCCTCCTCAATATCATCATCATCGTCACTAGTATCATAAAAAGGTCCTTTCCCTACCTCAGTCAGGCCAGGACTGGACCAGGACAGCTGAGTCAGGCCTGGTAGTGGCAACAGTTGTCCTGTCCCAAAGAGAGCTCAGGCAGCCAGGGCAGATGGAGGGTGGAAGACAGGAGCAGAGTTTGGCCGCGAGCTTGAGTCAATGGAGCTGGGCCTCCAGATGCTGTGTGGAGTCACATGAAGTGTCACTCTTTCCTTTCTGTGCTCTGGGAGGCAGGGTAAGTCATTTCTCCAGCCTCTGCACTCCTCAGTCCAGCCCAGCCAGCTGGTTTTCATGGAATAAGGCCACACTGATGCCTGCTCAATCCACTCCACCACCCTCCTCTCAGCCTCCTCATCACCTGCCCTGTGCCAGAGACAGGGGCCGAGGGAATGCCTTAGCTTTCAGACCTGCCTTGCATCCCAGCCCCTCTGGGATGAAGAAGGCAGGAAGCAACCCTGGGCAGGAAAGAGTGGCTTAAGGGGAAATGTCTCTGGTGTAAACACCAAGCTTCCTGAACTTCCCCACCTCAACCCAGTAGCCAGGGAAGAGAATGAAGCAGCTAGACGTGCTTATAGCACTGTCTCGAATCTCTACTCCATCTCTGCCCCAGGGCAGGTACCTAGAGTCACAGTCAGTGTGTGCTTATGAGCACTTGCACGTGATTTCTGCAAGATCCTGACTGTCCCTCCTCATCCTCTCTATCTGCAAGATTCTAAGGCCAGGGCACAGCAGCCTTGTGGGCTGGGGAAACAAAAGAAGGCTTCTTTATTCTCATGGGCAGTGGCAGGCAAGGAGTGAGGGGCTAAAGAGTGTGGGTTCTTGGAAGAGAGGGAATAATGACTTATTTGTGCCTAACTCGGGGCCTGGCCCAGAGAAGATGCTTAGGAAATGGTTGGGTGGAAGGTGGATGGAAGGATGGTTGAACAGATAAATGGACAGATTGATGAATGGATGGACAAACTGATGGATGGAATAAAGAATGAATGGATAAGTAGATAGATGGATGGATAGACGGATAAATGAATGATGAATGGATGGAAGGATGGATGATGGATTGAAAGAGGGGTGGATTGAAAGAGGAATGGATGGATAGATGGATGAATGAATGGATGGATGGATAAATGGACAGACTGATGACTGGATGGACAAACTAATGGATAGAATAATGAAGGGACGAGTAGATGGATAGATGGGTGATGAATGGATGGATGGTGGGTGAAGGGATGGAAAGATAAATGGATGATGGATGGATCAGTGTAGAGAGGAAGTAATATGGCCTCTGGCCTCATCCTGTGCTCCCATTCTCTTCCAGCATGGAGGTGTACAGGCTGCCCTTTCCATCCCACCAAACTTTTCTTTGTCATTTGAGGTATAAATAAAGTACTTAAAGCTTAAGTGTAAAGTTGGATGAGTTTTTATGTATGTATACACCCATGCATGGAACCACCACCAAGATCAAGCTACACAATAGTCCCGGCTTTTCAGGAGGCCCCTCGGTCCTACCCCACTTTGAACAACCTCGGCCCTCCACGGTCCCAGTGTGAGTTAATAGTGACACTCACACACTCAGTCTTTAGGCTCAGAGGTCATCTTGGGTCTTCCTTCCCACCCCAGGCCTGCCCCACTGTGCCTCATTTTGGTCCCCCACCTCTCTTCTCCTGCTCCACTGCCATAGCCTGGACTACTGCAGCAACTTCCAGAAGCTCTGCCTCCAGCCTCTCCCTGGACAATTCTGCCTCCCCTCCCTGCCTCTTCACTGGGCCTCCTAGAAGATGGTATGGCATTCTGCAATTCCCAAAATCTATAGGCAGTAGCTGTTGGCCCAGTTCCCTGGCTGGTGCCAATAGTTAACATGCTTGGCTACTAACCCAATGGTTGGAGGTTCAAGTCTACCCAGAGGAACTTCAGAAGAAAAGCCTGGTGATGTGAATAATCAGTAATTGAAAACCCTATGGACCACAGTTCTATTCTGACACCATGGGTCACCTTGGGTTGGAGTAGACTCCATAGTAACTGGTTTGGTTTATTTAGCTATTGACCCACCTAGTCCCTATGGCTCGGAGAGGCAGTGTGCCAGCTGACTCCTGAGCTGTTGGCTGATCATGTTCACCTTGAGGACCCCCAGGAGACCCAGAGGATGCAGAGGGTGAGGGCAGGCAACGTGCTGGGAGGAAACGGCTCCATGGTCCCAGAAGCATTTCCCCATAAAGAGAGGATATGATCCAACAGAGAGGAGAAGTAGGAGAATAGACCCAAACAAAGGGCAGGAAATGCCATGCTGGGCCTGGCGGCCCCTGTGAAGGGACTGTTGGACAAAAAGTTGGCATGGAATGGCTCTTGGTCACCCTCCCACAGAAGAACATCCTCCTTGCCCCCTCCCTCAGGGCCAAACAGAAATGCAGATTCTTAGGCCAGCTAGCAATAGAGACTCCACTGCAGTGAGTTCACACACACACACTCACACACACACACTTTACCAAGCATGATATTTCTCTCCAGGGAATGGTCCCTTCTGACAACATGACCAAAGTGGGTGAGACGAAGTCTGGCCATTGTCACTTCCAAGGATCATTCCGACTTCACTTCCTCCAGGACAGATTTGTCCATTCTTCTGGTAGTCCATGGTACTTTCAGCATTCTTCGCCAGCACCACAACTCAAAAGCATCAACTCTTCTTCGGTCTTCCTTCCTCTCCTTCTTCTTTGTCCAGCTCTCACGTGCATTCTTTTTCCTTCCCCTCCACTGTTTCTAAGGACCCCTGAGGCACAACTGTTAAGAGCACTGCTGCTAACTGAAAGGTTGGCGATTTGACTCCACCCCGTGGCTCCACGGGAGAAAGACCTGCCCATCTGCTCCCATGGAGATGACAGCTAAGAAAGCCCCATGGGGCAGTTCTGCTCTGTCACGGGGTCACTGTGAGTTGAAAATCCACTCAGCAGCATCACCACCAACAATCACTACTTCTACCTCTGCTCCTCCTTTTATCCAGGAAGAAAAAATGTTGGCCATTCCGGTGAAACACAAAGCCCACAGTGGAGTTTCAGGCATTGTGGCCATGGAGGTGGACAGGCTGCCCTTCCACAGCACCCACGCAGAGATGCCCCAGAAGCTGGTGGACGTCACCACGGTGCACTTGTGACCATCATGTTACATGTGTGTGAAGTGTGTACCAGATGACCATGCCTGGGTCTAGAGAGCCATTCCTCGTGGGCCCTCAGCTTCCTTCCACACACAAAAACCAAACCCATTCCCATCAATGCAGTTCCAACTCATAGCAATCCCCATGGGGTTTCCAAGGCTGTAAATCCTTAAGGAAGTAGATTGCCTCATCTTCTTCCAGCGGAGAAGCTGGTGGGTTTGAACCACCAACCTTCTGGTCCTTCTACAACAGCCACACCTTCTCGCATGCATCCTGGCCCTGAGTTCAACACCTCTTCCTCTTTGCTCCCCATTTGCTTACCACCACCCCTCAGCCTGATGCTTGGAGTCCTTACATCACAGCGTGTGGGAGGCTCACAAGGGTGCAGGGTTCACGTCATTCTGGGTCTTCCTGGACAAGTCTCATCGGCCTTGCCTTATCTCCCTCACCACCTCCCACTACACATTTCCCAACAAACTTAGGAACTGAGTCACTGCCTGGCTCTCCTTATACCTCATTCCTCCCATCCCACCCACCAGATCCCACCACCTCCTCTGTGTGGGACCAGTCCAGCAGCAGTACCCTGCCAAGTAGCAGCAGACTTTTCCAGAAGTCTTGTTTCCCAGCCAGTGCCCCCAATGGTTGTTGGATCTGCTCAGTTTATTTCCTTTAAAAAATTGTACAGTTTGATTTTTTTTAATAAGAATTTTTAAAATTTGTGTTTTATTGTGCTGAAGTATGTATAACGTAAAATATATCATTATAACCATCTTGAATTGTCAATTTCAGTGACTTAATTACACTCACAATGCTATCCATAAAGTTTTCATTGGATAATTTTCAAAAAGCAAATCACTGGGGCTTACTTCCTAGTCTGTCTTAGTCTGGCAGCTCTGCTGAAACCTGTCCACCGTGGGTGACCCTGCTGGTGTTTGAAATACCGGTGGCATGGCTTCCAGCCTCACAGCAACACGCAAGCCACCCCAGTGTGACAAATTGACATATGAGTGGTGGCAACGTTTTTGTTCTGTTATACATAAGGTCACTGTGATCAGAGCCAACCCAACAGCAACTAATACCACAATGCCATTCACAATGTTGTGTAGCCATCAGCACTCTCCATCTCCAAAACCTTCTTACCACCCCATAGTTTGACCCTTTAAGTGGCACTATTTGTGAAGAATAGGATACATGCCACAGAAACCGACTCAACAATGTACACTCCACAGCAAAGGTGGCTGTCTGATAAGATGGTGCCGGGGTTGACGTCCACTTCTCCCTACACAGGGGGCTGCTGAGGCCCTGGCCAGAAGCAGCTGGGGTGAGGTCCCTGTCCAGAAATCCCTTTGTCATTCTTGTGAGTCCCCACCTGCAGGGTCTGCCTCTGTGCCCTGCTGGTGTGACATCAGAGCTGATACTCCACCGTGAGAAACGGTCCCCCCATCTGTGACTTCTCACAGCTCAGCATTTCTCCAGCCTTACAGCATCATCAGCCAGGCTCCTCCAATCACTGCCGTGACTATTGTTGCCCTGATTTGGGGCTGCAGAGTTCCATGTAAAGGGGACTTCTGATTGAGAGTGTCCCCTGGCATTTCTGAGATCTTGATGGCTGGGAGAGAGAAAGCATGTCCACGGTAAAGCTGCAAGCACTTTTCTGACTCAAATTTTGGGGAAAGATACTCACTGGACTTTGGTTTTGTGATAGTAAAAGCAGAGTTTTATTCCGGCGCTGAGAAGTTTGAGACCTAACTGTGTAAGAGGTTATCTTCACGGCAGGCAGAGACTTAAGAGGAAATTATTGCGTTGTCTGGGAAAGAGGCTGAGACCTGGGTTGGGCCCAGAGGAAGGCTGGGGATAGGGGTCCTGGACTCCAGGGCACAGTGTCCAAAGGCCCCTCTGCAGGGAGGGACCAGCCCAAGGCCCTGCAGCAAGACAGCAGGCAGGAGCTAAGGCACAAGAGAGCCAGGAGAAGGCCCCTGAGCAAGCTCAGCCCAAGCGCTGATTCCAGCCTCCTGTTTTATGATTTTTTGTTCCAAGGGTTTTTGTTTTGTTTTTGTTTCTGCTCAAGTTTGCACTAGCGCTAGCTGTGCTATGCGGAAGGGCCGGAGTCCCTGTCTGAGGTGGGACCATGAGTGTGGCTGCAGCCAGAGGAGCTGGTTACGGGAGGGCAAGAGTGACCTACGGGGAGTGATGGGGTGGTTCAGGGTGAAAGCCTGGCTGGGGCATCAGCCGGGGTGAATTTGTAGGACCTGTAACATCTGGGGGAATTCCAGGAATATCAGGTAGGGGTCCTGGTAAACGTTTGCAGATGCTCTCTGGACATTCAAGGGCAGGCTGGAGCCCTAGGGCACATGGAGGTGAGCACATGCCACACAGACCCTGCAGGAAGTGACCCAAAGGCAGGCCAGCCAGATAGGGGCTCCTTAGCTCCCCGGCTGTCCTCTGGCTGGGGCTTCCCCATCACTAAGCAAGGCAAGACAGTCCTCTGAAGTCATTTTCAGGCCCTGCTGACTATAGCCCTAACTTCCTCTAGCCCATTTCATTCGGGTACTTCCTGCCCATCACATGTGGGTTCCATTGTATCTACAATGAACTCTAGCTCTCAGACTCAGAAGCCCAACTGCTCTAGGCAGAATGAAGATGTGGCTTAATAGCAATTCTAAACTCAACGTACGTCAGCAACGTGAAGGGCTTGCCGAAAAGAAAACGCACCGATAGAAGCATGTGTGGTACGTGGTCCCTTTCTCCTCAGGGTAGGGCAGACAGACTTAGTCTCACTCAGATCTGGGCATGACATTTGAAGAAGTGGATTTTGTTCAGATGAAGGTACAGGAAGGTGAGAGCTTACAACCTGTCAAATGGTAGTGGCTTGAAAACCCAGAGACTGGTCAGGCGCTCTCCAATTCTGTTTCCTCTTCCTGTATAAATCTCCCAGACTTCCTTGCATTAAGGTTGGGGCCAGGTGACTGGGATCTGGCCAATGGAGTGTGAGTAACAGGGATACCAACCACTTCCACACCTGGCCATCAACCTCCTGTGATATTGTCTCGATGCTGCCTTCCCTTCCCGTGTGGATGAAAGGGGAAGACCCCAAAATAATGGAACCTCTTGAAGGAAGGATCCTGAGTCACATTCATCACTTGAGAAAAGACTTGTCAAAAAGAGAAGCCTCTCACTGGACTTGACATAAATAAGAGATAAGTTTTTATTGCTGTTAAGACACTGTGATTTGAGGGTTTTAGCTGTTACCACAGTATAATCCAGCCTTGCCTATTATGAGCTGAGAAGGTTTAACACTGAGACATGGAATATGAGAGTTGTCTTCAGAAACCAGAACCTGAAAGGCCAACTGGCTTCAGTGATGAATTCCAGGCAAGGGAGTCTCTAAGATCAGCAGGTGTGAGAAGCTGGTCTTCCATAGAAGCATTGAACCAGGAGGCCCTGGCTGAATGACTGAAAGATTGAAAGATTCTGGATCTTTCTAGGTTGAACCAACCAGAGGAAAACAGCAGATGGGAGATGTAGTCTGTGCTGAGGTGTTCTGCCACTCTCGTTAAGCCACCCCACAGACCATGTGTGTAAACAGGAAGCTGAGCCCTTGTCTTACTAAGCAACACTAGGGGAAGGAATCCAATGGCTTCTGCCACCTTCAGTCCAAACCAGATGGGCCTTTTCCTCCACCCACTCTCTTAGGAGAAAAAAAGAGTCTTAATCCCCAACAATGTCCTCACTTAGTCTGTTTGGAAGAGGTTTCCACTCTTCCGGAACACTCCAGGACTCCAGGAGCCTGATCCAGAGAGGGATTAAGTAATCAAAATCAAGCTTACATTTTAATATGACGCACTTAAGTCTTCAGCAGTAAACACAGAGCCTGTCACTGTGGAGAACATGCTCCAGCCTAAACGGGCTTGTTGACAAATGTGGGTCTCTCCAAACCAAACACAGCCATTGAGCTCTGAAGACAACAGGTCCTCCCCAAGAATGTGTGGTAAATCTTTAGTGAGGAGGGGACTGTCTAATCAATCCCTCTCTCACTGTAGGGGGCAGTTACCCAGCTGGTAAAAGGAGTCATGTGCCAGGGACAAAGGAGTGAGAGTCTCCAAACCACAGGGCTGGACTCTGTCCTCAGGAGGATGGTGGCCAAGTTAAATCCTACAGTGGATTTACAAGAAAATGCCAAAGAGCTGGATGACACTAAGAATCGCCAGACAATGGAGAGAAACCTCTACTTCATTCAGGGGTTCTCTCCTCCTCTGCCACTAGCTGGGTGAAAAGCAGCAAAGCCCTCCGGTGGCTTTGAGTTTTCTGGGAGAAGACCAATCCCTGGACCTTCATGACTCCTTTGTGTGTTTCAAGGGCCCTCTAGATACCCTTGGTGGTGAAAGATACCCTCCCCCATAAGGACTTCAGAACACTCCAGCTATGGCTGTTAGTTATTTTGCTTTATTTGCAGACTGGTTTGCTACATAAATCCATTGCACAGTCCAACACACGCATACGTGGAGTAAAAGGAAGGACAATACAAAAATACAACTCTTGATAGTAAATGGAACTGCTCTCAGCTTATCCTAGTCCATCCCAGTGGCAATGCCAGGTGCGTAAGGTCAAAACAGAGGGATATACTGTGCCTAGTGGCACAGTGGTTAGCACTGAGCTGCTAACCAGAAGATTTGCAGCTCAAACCCACTAGCTGCTTCCCAGGAGAAAGATGTGGCAGTCAGCTTCAATAAATATTGCAGCTCAGGAAACCCTATGGTGCAGTTCTGCTCTGTCCTATAGGGTCATTGTGAGTCAGAATTGACTCAACAGCAACAGGACTGTGGAATGAGGAGGTGTGGAGGACTCAACCAGTAACACTGCCCAGTAAGATTCTGGGCTGGGGCTGAGTGGGCTCTCCTTGGCTTGTGATCATTTCTGCCACCTTCAAATCTGGTCACTTCCTCCACTAGAAAAGGTAAGAGACCCTTCCCAGTTCATCAGAGGCCCTCCCCAAGGAGCTGGGTCAAGGGCTGCCCAGTCAAAGCCAAATGTAGCCGAGATTCCCAGTAACCACCCTTCCCTGGGACACACCCAGCCCGAGCTCCTGCCTCTGGGCACCCTGACAGAAGGGTTAAGAGGATAAAGTTGATCAACATTTTAGAGGGTGGGAGAAGGGGAGGAAGAGTAAGGAACAGGGTCCTCTCTGGGCCTCCCTTTAGCAGATTTCAAGATGCTGCCAGCTTCTCCTCCCTTCCTAAGCCTGAGCTCACTAAGCCCCTTGGCTCAGAGGAAGTAGACTCCCAGGCCTTGAGGCCCTGCCCTGGGAAGTCAGAGCTGGCCTCAGCCCATCCACCAGAAATCCAAAGGGCCAGCATCTCTGTACAGGTGGATGGGTCTCCCAGAGCAGAAAGCAGCTCTTCTGGTCCTTACTGTGTTCACCAGGGCGGGGACACTGAAGAAGCAGCCCCTGGACACGAAAGGGTCGGATGAGGCTGAAGGACCCCATGGACCCTCCTGGTGGTCTCCAGCAACTTTTGAAGAGGTGGCACCCAGGAAGCAGGAAGCTTCACTGAAAAATGAAGAACTTTGTGTGTAGGTGTGGGAGGTGGGACACCACAACAGTCAGACACAAAGTTGCAGGAGAGATGAGCCCAGTGCCCAGCCTTCCAGGACAGAGTACGGGTGGTGGTCAGCACCCTGGGCTATATGGCCCCCAGACTACAGTCACTCTCCAGGCAGGGGAGGTGGGACATTGACAGAGCCATGATGGAGAACAAAGGGGACAAGGTGAGCCCAGGGCTACCTCCCTGCCTTGCTCCAGGGGCATTTAAACCACATGGGAGATGAACCCAAGGCCCTGTGGTGGGAAGAGGCCAGAGAGTGTATCTGTTCTGTTTTGTTGCATGTTCATTATGTTGTATTTGAGAACTCAGGAAGAATGTGACACTCCGGAGATTGCTGGAAACTGCACATTTGTGTGGGGACAGGGGGCCCACAGGGGACAAAGCCAAGGTGGGAACTGTGCCCCAGTGGGCAAAGCTGGCATTCAAGCCCCTGTATGGGGACATCACCAGCAGTCACATGGCTTTAACCTCATGTGTCTTGGCACATGGCTTTCATGAAGACCCTGGCATTTTAACTGTGAGCATTCCCATACACCCAGCCACATACACACGCTATGCCCACAAACACCCATCCACATCAACACACACATGCACACATACACCAACACACACACATATCCTGCACTCACTCACACACATCACACTAACATACACATGTACACACACAATATATACATACCACACACACACCACATACACACCCACCCACATACATACTCTGTACCCACACACACTCATCCACACCAACTTACACATGCGCATACATGCACTAATACACATACACATCCATCTATATCAATATACACACATGAACACACGCCAACATATGCAGAACACATGCAAACATACATACCCATCCACACACAGATTCTGTACCCACACATAACCATCCATACCAGTAAAACACAGGCACACACACACATCAACATATACAACCCATATGCACACATATATACCCACCCACACACCCAAACTCATTGCCATTGAGTCGATTCCAACTCATAGCAACCCCCACTGGGTTTCCAAGGTGGTAAATCTTTACAGAAGTAGATTGTTTCATCTTGCTTTTGTGGAGTAGCTGGTGGGTTTGAACTACCAACCTTTTGGTTAGCAGTCAAATGCCTTAGGCACTATGCCACCAGAGCTCCTTCACCCACATACATATACATCATACACCCCCACCCACACCAACATACACCTATACACACCCTTGCACATATACACACATACACACATGTGTGCACACAGTCCCAGGCTTCGGGTCTGGTGCTTCTGGGCAGATGGAAACAGAAACCTAGTTAGGAGGAATCTATAGGGAAGTCAGTTAAGGACACAGTGCCTTTAGAACTCTGTGTTACACTTGACCTTCAGCCCTGACTTTTGAAAGGACGACAGGGAGGCCTGTATCCATCACCCTCAGGCTTGGGAAGGCCCAATTAAAAAACAAATCTGATCAACTCTCCCTGTGAAATGGTGAAGTGGCTGGAGCGGGGGTCTCTCCTCTGTCTGTCAACCCCTTCCCCTCACACACTCACATTCACAGTAGCCCCACCTTCCTTCTCCCCTGGCCTGACTCATCTCTCCCCTTACCCTAAGGCAGGGCACAAGTGTTAATGGTGACAACATGGAGTCATGTGTCACCTCAGATAACACGGTGGCACTCAAACAGGTATCATCTGTGGCACTGCTACTGTGGGAGGGCCTTGGCTGGGGCACACCCAGGTACCCACCCTCATCTCCCCTTTCCTCTCCCCTATGTCCTCACACCCTGTGCCCCCAACCCCAGCTTCTCTTTGAAAAGGTGACATTCACTGCCCTCTCAAAACAACCCCCCATCTTGCTGCATCCCGGCTGACAGCAGAGACACCTGCGAGCTGACGGTCAACAACCCCATGGAGCTCAACAAGCCAGAGCAGGCTTCCTGCTAGGAGCCAGAGAAGCCTTGCTGAGGCCCAGCCTGGCCCAGAGACCCAGGCCCATCGTCTCTCTAGCAGCTAGAGGTGCCTAGAGTAGGCAAAGGGGGAGGCAGCTGGCGAGCGAGCTTAGGACCCTGAGGCCCATCAGCCAGAGTGTCAGGCCTCACACATCCCCACAAGTCCTGACCCAGGCTAGGCCAACCCACCCTTGGGGGATCCTCCCATTCCCGGTGAGTCAGGGCTCTGGAAGGCTGCTGAATGTAGCTTAGTTAACAACTCGGGCTCCTCGCCTTGTACGCCACTCTTCCCAGAGACCTCAGGGGCACCCAGTGGGTAGGCCTCCCTGGCCCGGCCGGTCCTGGAGCAGGTGAGGAAGGCCAGGCAGGCCCCCCGGAGGCGAGCCAAGTCCCTGTGGGTGGTCTCGCTGACGAAGCAGTACAGCACAGGGTCGGCCACGCAGTTCAAGCTGGTGAGGAGGAGAGAGAAGTGGTAGGCGTTGAAGATGCCCTTGGCGAACTCACAGCTGGACTCCCACAGGCTGCGCACGAGCAGCAGCACGTGGTAGGGCAGGAAGCAGGCCAGGAAGATGACCACGGTGCTGAGCACCAGCCGCTGGATCTGGTCCTTGCGGCTCTTCTGGGTGCCATGGCTCCGGCGCACGGCCCTCAGGATGCCCTGGTAGGAGACGAGCAGCAGGCAGATGGGGAAGAAGAAGCCTACCAGGAAGCGGTAGTAGTTGATGCCGCGCTGCCAGGCCTGGATGGGGTAGTGCTCGAAGCAGACGCGGTGCCGGTCCTCGTCCACGATGACCTCCTTGTGCATGAGGAAGTAGATGCTGGTCAGCAGCTCCTTCACCCAGATGACCACGCTGACGCCGACGGCCGCCTTCAGCGTGCGGAACTGGTGGAAGCGGAAGGGGTGGGCCACGGCCAGGTAGCGGTCAATGGAGATGCAGCAGAGGAAGCCCACGCTGATGTAGATGTTCTCGTAGAGGAGGATGCCGCACACCTGGCAGGACAGGTCGCTGTGCGGCCAGTCGTCATGCTGCAGCACGTACTGCAGCCAGAAGGGCAGTGAGCAGATGTAGAAGAGGTCTGCCACCGTCAGGTTGCACAGATACACACCCAGCTCGTTCCGGGCCTTGATCTGCAGGTAGCCGAAGTAGAGGGACAGGCAGTTGGCTGGGAAGCCCACCACCAGCACTGTGACGTAGACCACCGGGGCCAGCGTCTGGTGGATGGTGTGGTCAATGGCACAGGTGACTGAGGAGTTGTCTGTGGTGATGTTCCCCATCTTTGGGCTTGGAAGGGCCTCCCCCATCATGGGCTCAGGGAATGAGCTAGTCTTTGCATCACCATCTTGTTATAGAATGTGGCATCACCATCTTGTTATAGAATGTGGCATCACTGGTAGTAGGCAAGCCCCTGAAATGAAGGAAAGACTTAGAGTAAGAGCAACTAACATTGATGTAGTACCCACTATGTGTCAGGCACTGTGCCAAGTGCTTTACTTGTTTCATTTAGAAGAGATATATCAGCCAACCAACTCTGATTCAATCAGAATATCTATAAATAGGTTGCATGCCAAGACACTGGAATGTACCCTATGTCTTTCCATCTCTTTGTCCTGGCTTGCTTGTCTCTTTTTCATTTTCTTGGCCCCTTTCAGGTGCCAGGGAAGGCTAGGAGCTCTTGTGAGCAGGAGCCCATCCTAAGCCCAGCCCTCTGAGGGAGGTTCAAGATCAAGATCATTCCAACCCACTTGCCGCAGCAAGGGCACCAATTCCCTCCTCTCCAGCTGTAAGTGTATGAGCATGTTTCCAGTTGCTCCCAGGAATGCATCCCATTGGTCAACACCAAGGCTGTGTCCCTCTTGAGAACTCTCCAGAAAGCCTCAGAAGAGACCCAACATTGTCAACATCCTCATACACTCTGGTGACAAAAGCTAACCTTCTCACAGAGCAAGCTGACTCCTGGGTGCCCGTCAGCGGCTGGGTGCTCCCTCTCCTCTCCTGCACGGAGTGTGGGGACTTGGTGTGGAGGACAGTGTTGGAGCAGGGCCAGGCCAGGGAGGCCGCTTACAGGCCATGCGAGTCACGTGCCCTCTCTGAGCCTTCGTTTCCTCACCTGGAAAATGGAGACAGCAATGCCTGCCCTTGGGGTCAGTATCAGGACTACGTAACACGACACACACACGAAGGAATGGGCTGCAGTGGTTCTCCAGGGTCACCAAAAAAAACCAAACTCACTGTTGTCAAGTCAATTCAACTCATGGTGACCCCTCCTTGGGTTTCCAAGGTGGTATCTCTGCGAAGTAGATTGCCCAGTCATCCTTCCAAGGAGTGGCTGGTGAGTTTGAACAACTAGCCTTCTGGTTAGCAGTCAAATGCCTTAGGCACTAGTCAAGGAGGGGAGAAAAGAAGGCCGTGCTACTCAAATTAGTGAAAAGTTCATGTTGTTGAAAGTGGTACAAAGAAGATGTTTTTATATATATATACATACACATATATATAGTTTCAGCGTTTCTTCTGACATCCATTTTTGTCTTTTCTTCCTTTCCTGTCTTTTTAATAAACTTTTGCTTTCTTCATGGATGATGTTCTTGATGTCATACACACACACATGTATATAAAATATGTATCTTTTGACCTATATATATACACACACATATGTATATAAAATATGTATCTTTTGACCTATATATATACACACACATATGTATGTATGTGTATATATGTGTGTGCGTGTATATATATGTATATATATGTGTGTGTGTATATATATATATAAGTCCCCAGGCAGAGCAGACAGTTAAGCACTAGACTCCTAACTGAGAGGTTGGTGGTTTGAACCCACCCAGAGGTGCTTCGGGAGACAGCCTGGGCATCTCGTGAAAGGTCTCGGCCTTGCAAACCCTACAGATCCATTCTACTCTGAACACATAGGGTCACCTTGAATTAGACCAGCAACACCATCTAGCTGTCAGGCTCCAACTTGTTTGAACAAAGCAGAATAAGCAGCCTTGCTGTAGGTCTACTTTACAAATATATCAAAGTGAAAAGCTTGAACTGCTCTGTTGATTGATACCACTCTCTTCAATAAAAAGTCTTGTGGTGGCTAAACCAGCATCTCTCAGCCTTTTTTTCATTTTCTCTCCCATTAAAACAAATACATAGGGTTGCCCTTGAGTCAATTCCAACTCATGGTGACTCCATGTGTGTTATTAGAGTAGAACCGTGCTCCATACGGTTTTCAGTGACCCTATATACAGCGGAGCTCTGGTAGTTTAGTGCCTAAGGCATCTGACTGCTAAACAGAAGGCTGGAGGTTCAAACCCTCCAGCCACTTCTCGGAAGGAAGGTTAGGCAATCTACTTCCATAGTGATATCGCCTTGGAAATCCAAGGAGAGGTTGCTATGAGTTGGATCCGACTCCACGGCAGTGGGTTTGGTTTGGTTTGGGTTGGGTTGGGTTGGTTAGGTACAGGGGTTGCTATGAGTTGGATCCGACTCCACGGCAGTGGGTTTGGTTTGGTTTGGGTTGGTACAGGGGTTGCTATGAGTTGGATCCGACTCCATGGCAGTGGGTTTGGTTTGGTTTGGTTTGGGTTGGTTTGGGTTGGGTTGGTTTGGGTTGGTACAGCAGCATGAAACACTGCCCAGTCCTGTGCCATCCCCACGATCCTTGCTGTACCTGAGCCCATCATTGTAGCTGCCGTGTCAATCCATCTTGTTGAGGGCCTTCCCCTTTTTCATTGACCCTCCTCCACTTTACCAAGCATGATATCCTTCTTCAGGGAATGATCCCTTCTTACAACATAACCAGAGTAGGTGAGACGAAGTCTGGCCATTCTTGCTTCTAAGCAACATTCCAGCTGCACTTCCTCCAGGACAGATTTGTTAGTTCTTTTAGCAGTC